ATAAAAGCTTAATATGCTAAGTGTCCAGTTGTCTGGTCAAAGTGTAATATGCTAATGATATGCTAAGGCCACTCAACCGCTCACTATGATGTATACTGACCACCAGGGGGCAGACAGTCGACCAGTCGGCCAGTTGCTATGGCATGCACTGACTACCAGTAGGCAGGTTAACTTGCTGGGGTCTGGCTGATCAGGACTGAGCAAGATGGGCTGGACACCCCTGGAGCCCTTCTGTGGTCTCTCCTGGCTGGCCAACTTCTTGCATTCTTCCCCAGCCACGATCATTCACCAGTGGGGTCCCTTGGCCTGGCTTGCACCCTCTCACAATCCGGGACCCCTCAGCAGATGTTGGAGAGCTTGTTTTGGCCCGATTCTGCAGGCCAGGCTGAGGGACACCACTAGTGCACAAATTTATGCACTAGGCCTCTGGTGGATAGATAAAATGTGGTATATCTATACAATGGGATTTTTTTTTTAGCAATAAGAAAGAATAAATTAATGATATGCCATGATGTGGATGAACTTTGAAAACATTATGCTAAGAGAAGTAAGCCAGTAATAAAGGACCACAGATTACACAATTCTTTTATATGAAGTGCCAATAATAGGTAAATGTATTGCTATTTTCTGAATGCAAAATTCATATGTTGAAACCCAACACCCACTAGATGGTATTAGGAAGTGGGGTCTTTGGAAAGTGATTAGGCAGTAAGGGTGGAGGCCTCATCATTAAGATTAGTGTTCTTACAGTAGAGACCTCTAAAACTTCCTTGCCCTTCTGCCTTGTGGGGATACCACTAGGCAGCAGCCATGGATGATACAGGAAGCTGGTCCTCACCAGATAGGGAATGTGCCAGCATCTTCATCTTGGCCTTCCCAGCCTCCAGGACTGTGAGAAATAAGTTTATCATTTAAAGCACCAAGCAGCCTGAACAGACTAAAACAACTAGGCAGTGATTTTCAACCAGTGTGCCACAGAATTTTTAAAACATGCACTACCTGATTATTTAGTCAGGGGCACTGACCTCTTTCCCCTCAGATGGGCAAATTTAAAAATGACAACAGCCAACATAACTGTCATCCCGTGTGAGTGAATAAAAATTATACCTTTTTTTGTCAGATCGGCATAAAATATACTATAGTTTTGGTGTGCTATAGAATTTTAATAATTATTTTATGTGTGCCATGAGACAAAAAGGTTGAAAATCACTGATTTAGAGAAACAGAATCTAGATTAGTGGCTTCCTAGAACGGAGCACATAGAGGAGGCATAACCTCTGAGGGCAAACCACCCCCCCCCAAAACCGAGCATCATTTCATGTTCTATAGCACTATTTTTTAATGTGAAGTTGATTATATGTGTGTGTGTGTGTGTATTTCTAATCAATATATATATTTCTGCAAACATAAATTCTAGACCTAGGGTAATCTAGACTTTGGTTTATCACTTAATATGTAAAGAAAGAATTCATTGTTATGATAGATCCATTTTCTTAGTTTTATTCTAATTTCATTTGAACACAGTCATATACAACTTTTTAAACTCACAAATAATTATTGACATTTATGCTTGTGCTTTTCTGAACTCAGATATTAACCATAGTGCATTATTCTGTATCTCTTATATTTCTCTCAAAGAGGGCGTAGTCCTGCCTATGGAAATTCCAAGTTATTACTTTACAATAAGTTTTCTAAATGCTAACTGAAGCCTGAGGAGGGGTGTTATACTGATGAAATTATTCAAGAGCAATGATTAGTTTTCATTTCCGTTTCTCCTAAACTGAAGTGTGTGAAGAACTGTTCTTCTATCTAGCCTTTTGATGACTTACTTATAAGTATGATATAAGCACAGTTAGAAGGAGAAATAAGCATGAGGACTAAGTGTCCATAATGCAATTTTTCACCTCTATGCCAGGATTAAGGTAAAGGAGAACAGATATGCTGTATTCACTGTGTCTGACAATGTGTAAAATTATATCTAATACATCCTGTGCACTCTCTTAGATCCTGGCATCAAAGATAAAAATGGTAAGAGACCTGCTTATGAGGAAATCTCAGAATAAATCTTCCTGTACGGTGACATATTTTCCTATCATACATAAAGTCAAGTCATTTACCATTTTCTGAAGCAGCCACTGTGATGTTGTACCACGGAGTTTCTTCTCTATCAAGAACCTTTGTCGTCTTAATAGATCCGGTATTGGCATCAATATTGAAAAACCTGTCATCTTCAGCATTGTAGTCAATGAAGTATCTAGATAAGAAAATAGATAAGTATTTTTTCTTGCTGTTATAATAAAAAATACAAAACTGAAGCAAGTGAGGTACTCAAATATTTAAACACATATATTTAACTTTTATGTCTGGCTCTTAAGATTTGACTGGCAACTTTACATTTGCATAGACTGACATCAATTATTTTTTATCTCAGTTTGTCCTTAATGATATGCTTAGGTGAATTACTAATTAAAAAATACCAACCAAATTCCATGAATAGAGTAGTAGGCAGTAGAAATGCAATCATTAATAAAGGAGAGAAAAAAATCACCTCTGGGAAGTTAACAGTATATTGGAAGAAAAAAATCAAATACGTAATGAAATTTCTCATTGTTACATGTATAAACATTTTAGGATAGAAGGAGATGTCAGGGACTAATTTATATTAGAGTTTCATTGTAGCTGAGGTTTAATCATAAATATAAAATGAAAAAGAAAACATTTCATTGTTATCATATGTCCATAGTCAACGAATGAGAAATGAAATAAATGGAAGGTGGGTTGCATTACTGACCACAACTCTTCCTTCTCCAATTCATGTACTTCGGCAGGGCTCTCACAGTAGGAGTGACCTCCAGCTTACTTTGGCATTAGAATGATTTGAAAGCAGTGGTGTTCTAGACCATATTTGCGTCTAGGTTTCATGAGTCTGCATATTTCCTCTTATGCTTTGCCACTGCCATGAGAACTACATGCCAGAGCTAGTGCCCTGGCCCCAGGGGAAGATGGAGATGCATGGGCAGAGTTGTCCCAGTTCAGGATGCCCAGCCTCAGGCAGAACCTCCTAGTAAATGAGCAGGCGCAGGATGGAACGCTCTGGAGATAAACAGCCAGCAAACAAAAGCCAGCTCAGTTCAGCTGATCCTCAGCTAACTAACAGCGGCATGCACTTTGGATTTAAATTACTTTTTTCTTTACCCCCAAGTTTTGGGGTTTCACATTATTCAGAATAGTTAATGCACATAAGTATGAATAAATAATAAACAATCATGTGTTCTAAAACTGTTCCAAACCATCAGGAGAGAAGAAAAGTCTTCTCTCCTAAACCTCTAATCCTTCGTTCCTTTGCATTAGTCTCAGTTTAAGTAACATTTTATCTTAGACCTGAATAAAAAGTGAGCTATTATATGGAAAGTGCCAAGGGAAGAATACTTGAATATGGTAAACCAACATGCAAAGATCCAACTTCAGGAAAAAGTTTGACTTGCTTTAGAAACAAATGTACCTTTTTATGTAGCCAGCAGAATGAAGGCGTTTGATGGACAAGCCCTGCAGCACATGGTAAGGAATTTTTGCTTTTTAAAAAAAGCAATGGTTTTCCCATAACACGATTTATTTATGTTATGAAAAAAAAATCACAGTGACTACTTTAAATCTTGGATTGTAGAAATGTAAAAACAATTCAGAATATAAATTATGCTATTTTAGACAAAGGTGGGGAAAAAAGAAGGGAATGGAAACAACTGTACAAAATAATGGTATATATCAGACACAACCTATGGAACTTTTTGCTGAAGTGGCATTAGTAAAGGGTAGAGATCACAAGTAACGTGTGTGTGTGTGTGTGTGTGTGTGTGTGTGTGTGTGTGTGATCTACCATGTAATGGACAGGCCCACTTACTGATCTGGATAAAGAGGTAAGGGAGCCTGACTGGTGTGGTTCAGTGTTTGAGCATTGACCTATGAACCAGGAAGTCACAGATTGTGGGCTCTATCCCCAATGCGGGGCGTGCAGGAGGCAGCTGATCAATGATCTCTCTCATCATTGATGTTTCTATCTCTCTCTCCCTTCCTCCCTGAAATCAATAAAAATATTTTTAAAGAAGAGCTAAGGGAAATACTCTCTTTGGGAGAAAAACAATTTGAGATACATCAACCACCTTAAGGCTTAACCCATTATGCCTCCGATGTCAATTAGATAAGCATGTGTAATAAAAAGCAGAGACTTAGATGTGGGTGTGAAATTTAACTGTGTTTTCTGAACAGGAAATATAAATTTGAGATATATCAGCCTAAATTTAAGGTAATGGGAATGGTAGAAGCTCCTTCAGGAGAGAACTGTAAGAATAAAGGAAATAAAAGATTTGGACACTACAGCACTCAAACTTTTAAGACTGAAGCAGCCCAGGATCTGGGTAAAGAAAGTGCTAGTAAAAGGAGAGAAACAGCTGAAAGGAAGAGAAAAAGTGGGAGGGCGAGGCAATAGAGAAACCAAGAAAGAATTGATATAAACGGGCAGCCCTGGTGAATTCAGTTGAGCTGAGTGAGGTTAGTAAAGGTTGATTGGATTTGGCAGGATGGACACGACTGGTTAACTTGAGAATAAAGTTTCAATAAAATATGAAATGATGGGATTGTTATTGTAGTGGAATATATTGAATGTGAGAATATGAAGCCCATGAGTTATGACACTTTGCTTGGCATCGTTACCTGAAAATGAGATCAGAAAAAAATGAAGCCTTATGTCATCAGAGAAGTGAGTTTCAACAAATTATTATTTTTTCTGTGAAGGAAAATATTAAGCTCTGTCTTTCTTAAAGGAAGTTAACATTTTGAAAGAGTGAAATACCTAAAAAGGTGAGTAGGATTGGGCTCCAAAGCACAGATATAAGACTTTCCATTGAAAGTAACAGAAACCCTTCGTCATGAGGAGAATCTCAGAAGTTTGGGCAAACATATTGACTAGGTAATTGTACGGCAATATCACAGAATTCATCTTCCTTTCTAGAACAGAGTATAATTGAAAAACAACCTATGTCTCTGATAGGCATGTATTAACAAGACATTTAGAATATATTGCTAAAGTGTGAAATCTTATAACTACTTGTGTATACATACACATGCCAAAACATTGCAGAAATTGATATTACCATGAAGATTGACTATAGAGCATCTCACTAAAATGTAGGAGCTCATTTAGTGAAAATAACACATATAAAGGGACAAAAGGTAGCACTTGTAACTGTGTGATCAAAAAGGAGAAATTGTTGTGAACTACTTGCTCTAATAATAATTACATGTTAATTGAAGGAAGTTCAACATGAAAAAGCAATTTAAACAAGAAGTAAAAGGCAAATCTGTTTCAAAGAAGAGACACCAGATTCTAACACTACAGAAGAGTGGGAGTGTTATGTCATTGGGCTTTCCAAAATATTAGGCCATGGCACACTGAAACTGTTTTAGTTTTTTCTTTTACTTGAATTCATGTAACACACAAAAAACCTTCCCCCAGTGTGTCTAATCTAGAAACCCAATGCTAAACTGCTTAGGAGGTGTGAGAAGATTTGATGAATGAAAAAGATAGCATCCCTTAAAATATAATCAATTAGCATTCTGATTTTTATACAGGAGTGGGCAAAAGTAATTTAATAATAATAAGTAATGCAATAATTAATAAGTAAATAATAAAATAATGAATTCTGAGTTTTGTGTCCTCACAACTGTAAACCTACTTTTGCCCACCCATGTATTATCTAAAGTTAGTTACTATTAACCTGTCTTCAAGAAACTTTTCATTTGGGGGTACCCTATAGAGAACAACAGTTCCTACATCCAAAAATTAGACCCGAAATTGAATCATTATTCAACCTGAAAGTTTCCTGTTGCAACGCAAAAGTCCAGATTATGTTTCTATCAATACAGCCCTATGAAATACGGAAGACTATGTCCCATTTTAGGAATCTGATCGCTTCAGAACCATCAATCTGAAAGAAAATGGGGGTTTCTTCTGTTTGTAGGCAAAATAAAGAATCTGAAAATGTGTAATTTCTTTATCAGAATAATCCCCTCTCTTTTACACACTTTACGCAGAGCTTTATAATGCAAGGGCTAGTATGAGTTGTTAAATGATTTTAGAATAAATATACTTTTATTTGAATTTAAAGAATAAAAACCTGGATTTAAATATGTTTGAAAATGGTAGGTATGATGCTAGAGATGTCCTAGGCTCTTATTATTTAAATTTTAATTTTCTTTGCAACCTAACACCCTTGAGATATCTGCAACATAAGGGCTAAATATCAGCTATGCTCGTGTCCCAAGAGTCTTATTTGTGGAGTTGCAATTGAATTTCAACTCAAGGAGAACTAAACAGTTATGCTTAACTAACCTTGAATTTCTTCCTAGCCATACAAATAAAAAACTCATAAAAAGGGTAAAGAGAAATGTTAGAAAAAAGAAACTATTCAAAACTATATTAGGAGACTAAATATAGAATAATTTAATGCTATTTAAAATTTAAAAAGTGGCATGGCTCCATTAAGCTGCTCATCAAACAATAAAAAAATAGATGTCAATATTCTTAGGAGGTAACTATCAAATAATCTTTAATAATAAAAGCATAATATGCTAATTAGACCAGAAATCCTTCCGGATATCCTTGCGGGACGACCTTTCTGATGAAGCCAAGGCTGTGAGGGAAGCCCGAGCCCCAGGTGCCAGAGGGAAGCCAGTGCCTGCAGCCAGGGGAAGAAAGAAGGTCTACTCTTGTATAAATTTCATGCATTGCGCCTCTATTTTTTTTTAATAAAATCCATTTATTTCCTTTTACAAACTTTCAAAAGGTAAACGTGGCATGTTAATACTTTATGAACTTACATACATAGGTGTTTTTTTGCAAATGATAATATTAATTTAATATTTTGTAAAACACCCAGCAAGTATAATATCTGGTAACCATTTGCCTAAGTGATATAGTTTCTAAATTGGGATTAATGGTAAAACCTAAAAAAAAAAAAATTAGAATTTTGAGAATTTTTTATATTCTAGTCCACAGTTTTCAACAGTAAGCCAGTGTAAACTGAAACTAGAGTATATGTAACTGGACAAGACATTTAAAAATATTCTTCAAATTCTACTCTCCTCCATAATAAAGACTACCTAGGGGTGATATGTGAGACTGCAAGAAAACTGATATACATACAAAAGCAATCTGTAACAGGTAATACAAGCGAACATTTATTGAGCACTTAAAATGTA